TTTCCAGGCATCCTTCTTTCTAGAAAACCTCCGGAAACAGAGGGAAAGCAGCCGCTTTTTGGAAAGATGGTTGAAAATAATAGGGAATCAACCCCTAGAAACGGTGTCCTGATTGTTTCTCTTTAGATCATCAACCAAAAGCAGGGTCGCTCCGACCCGTTTGGCGAAGCACGTGTTTTTCGCAGGAGGTCTTCCCAGAGCACGCGCGCGCCTTCGAAGAGCGGCGTGGCCAAAACGTCGAGTCGTTTGGTAGGGTGCTCACGCGGTTCGGGTTTATTTGGGTCTGTCTTTTTTGAGGGTACCCCCGTTTTTTGCTGGTTTAAAGGGAAGCCAACAGGAAGATTTGCAATTTTGGGGGGATCCCCTAGAATACGCAGGCCTTGCAATCTCCAAGCCAGGTAGTAGAACCCCTATGGCAACAATAGAGGTGTCGGGCGCCGGTATTCACTGTTGTGTGCTGTCCAAGTTACTAATAGAAACGGAGTTACTTCCCAAATGTCCAAGGCAGGGGTCACTTTTGGTCGTGGCACATGTTTTTTCCGACAGAATTGCACATTGCAGTTGCATGGCCAGTTGAGAGGGTTCCCCTCAATGGTTCAATGTTGAGGTGTGAGATACTGTGACCCTCGTGGCGTTCCACATGTTTTGGTGCCTTTGAAGGATGGCCACGTAGAAGACTGCACACCGGTTCTCCTCGCTTGCCTCAAGACTACCAGGGCGATTAGCCCAACATGGCACTCAGCCACGCGGAACCTCACTGGAAGTCTGAGCCAGTGCCTTTCAAAGTGGCCTAGGGTTCCGTAGCGGATCATATTCAAGCAACTCCTTCTGGAGCATCGCAGCATGGACAGTAAGTTGGGCTGAGCCAGTTTCTGTGGGCGTGCTTTTTGTTTCGTTCAGTGGCGGGGTGCCTTTTTGGTTCCCTTTGCACTGATCCCCAAGAGGTCTCCAGTTTTTGGCGTCCATGTTTGGCGAAACACGAGGTTGCTCTCCTGAGCCTGATGGCTAAGATGGCGAAGCCCCTGTTTGTATGGTTTGAGAGAGGAACCAGAAGCAAACCAATCCAATGTACCGGCCTACAAGTCAAACAGCTCGGTGCCGAGTCTCCAAATGGGTGTTTGCCTTAGTGCGTCTCTCAAGTGCTAGAATGATCTCCATGCACCAGCGTGTTTGCTAGGAGCCGCATTCTTCTCTAACGGGCTCTTGGCAGGTTTGCGTTTGGCCCCCGTGCAGGCACTTGGTCGGGAACCCCCCTTTACTAGGGTCACAGTCCCACCGCGCCTTGCGTAGCAGTTTAGTTCGGGGCCGGGGTCTTTGCGGTGGGTCGGTGGGTTTTCCAGGCTTCAGGGTGAACGGCTGGCATCGGGTCCCGCCTTGAGGCCTTGCAGAGATGTTCGTGGCACACATGTGTTTGATCCCTTTTTCCAGTGAGGATGTCCGGCATCAAGCGGGCGGATGTGGCGCGAATTGTGGCGCTCTATGCTGCTTGGGTCTCATTGGACCAGGCCCTACTTCGTGATAACACCAGATTAAAGAACCCCATGTTATAAATTGGGGGGTTCCTGTTTTTGTTGGAGGGGAACATTCCCTGTCCCAAAAAATGAGATTTTTGGGAGGACCCCCCTGATTACTCTGGAGCCCCTTCAGTCCTCGTCCTCTTACTTCTGGCCCCTTCGGGGCAGTAGGACTTTAAAAGGCAACAGCATATTTTTTGGGTTTTAAGCCCAAAACACTCTGATTAATCGCGGGGGGTTTTCTGTTAATGAGGGGGGACTGGCCTCCAAGGGGTGTCCCCTTTGTGAGCTTGAACACCTTGTCATGTTAAACAAATTTTAATAAAGAACATGCATTTTTGGGGAAGCACATTTTTGGGGAAAACTTGAAGGGTTCAATCGTGACTTAGTATTGGTGGGTTTAAGCACAGACTAAGCAAATACTGTACTAAGCAAGAAGGAAAGCACCTTTTCTGGCAGGTTTTGTTGGCTTGGGGGCTGCAGAGGGATACCTTTAATCGGGGGGGGGGGGCGGTTGGGGAGGGCTCGAAAATTATTGGGTAGGTGTATTTTTTGGGGGGAAATCTTGTTGGCCCTTTACTTTAGGGTTGGTTGGAACCTGAGGGGGAAAAGGGGAAACCTTTAATCGGGGGGGTTTACGAATCGTCTCCTGACACGTCAAGTACTGCTTCACTTCATAGATCTGCTGACCTGGTTGTCACGCTACTCGAGTTCACGTTGAACTGATCAGGTGCCACCAAGTGAATCGGGGGGCCGAATCGAATTGTCCATTTTCGCATGCGACGAGCGTTGGAATGGTTGTCCCCCAATAAAGCCGTTGCTCCCTCTCGGGGCGCTACCCAGGATATCGGACAGAGATTGTCTTCGTGCTGTTTCAGAATTGCAAAGTTTTTGCCAAGTGGCGTTGCAAAAGTGCGTTGCCTAAATTATCCAACGAGAATTCCTCGCAAGCGCACAAAGCCGTTTGACTAGGCTTGCTATGTCCTAGAAGTCGAGGAAGCAAGCCATTGGTTTCGACAAAGGTCTTCTGCTTATTGTGCGGGCTGTCGCAAGTACGCACGCCATTCCAGAGCTAAACCGCCTGTGAGTCTTTGTGACATCCGAGCCTCGAACTTGGCTCCCTTCAGGTGGTATCCTCAGACACAGCCACCAACGCAAACGGGGAAGCCATCAGACGAAAAATGAACCAGGCAACAAAAAGGGGAACCCACCAAACCGAAAGGGGACCCCACCCCAAACCACAAGGGGACCCCACCAAGCAACAAGGGGAATACACCAAACAACATGGGGAACCAGCAAACCCACCAAACAAAATGGGGACCCCACCAAGCCAAAAAACAACAGGAGACCCCACCAAAACAAAATGGGGACCCCACCAAAAAGGGAACCCGTCCGCACCGTTGCTCTGCCCCGGCTCGGCCCGGATCGAGGCGATGGGCGGCGTCTACGCGGACATCGACGTGGCAGCCACCAGGTCCTTCGACCCGCTGCTGGCGGCGGCTGCGCGGGCCCGGCAGGGGGTGCTGCTTGGGGAGGCGCGGTGATCGCAAGCGAAGTTCAGGTGTGGGTGGCTCGGCTTTTTTCTGGAATCGGACACCCCAAAATGGCTTCAGTCTTCCTTTTGGTTTCCCTTGAAATGAGCTCCTTGCAAAGTTCAGGTGAGCCACAATGAAAACTGGTGAGCCACAATCAAAACCCGGGTAATGTTGACCCCGGACGAATACACCCCTGTTTATTAATATCGGGGTGTCCCTGGTTTTAGTGGGGATTTATCACTTTTGGAGTGGAACACCCGCATATTAGTAAACAGGGGTTGACTTCATGGACCTTCAAGGGAGGGGAACCATGGGCAGTGCGCTAGCAAGCCCTTCATGAGGGCTTACTAGGGGCTCATCCTTGGCCTCCCTGGGCTTATATGAGCCGCAATCAAAACCCCGACTATGTTAATACCGGGTTTTGATTATGACTCAGGTGTGGGTGGCTCAGCTATTTTCAGGACTCGAACCCCCAAAAGGGATTCGGTCTTCCTTCTGGTTTCGCTTGAAATGCCAGCCAACAGGGGGTTCCGCCAAAAATTGACGGGCCCATATCCCCCTTTGGGTGTTTGGATGTTGGGTACCTTCCCTATTTGGCTTCGAATAGTGGGGTTCAATTCCAAATCCAGTTCCATCTAATCCAGGTACCTGACAGGCAACCGGAGTTGGTGGTTTCGATTGGTGGGATCTGGATTTGGATCTTGAGGGAACATGGTTTCCCCACTTCCGCAGTTTTACTCGCTGGGTACCGACTTCTCGGAAAGCCTTTGGCTTGGCGCGCAGATTCAACTATGGGTGTCTCTTTTTAGTGGACCTCCCTAAAATGGTTTTTCCTTGTATTTTCCTCTTATAAGACAAACCAAAAAGGTTTTCCTCAAAAGACGGACCGTATCGCCTCAGCACCTCTTGAACAGCCCAGCAACGTGCGGGAGCCCTGGGCACGCGTCAAGCCATCTTGGAAAGCTTGCAGACATCAGGTCAAGATAGATGGCGCAACACGCAGCCTAACATGACTCTAGCAATGGGTGTGCCTTGATTGAGGCTTTGTTAGGGGGTTTAAAGGAAAGCAAAAGGACATCACTCTTGTTTTTTCAGATGCATGCTGCAACTGCTGTGCCAGGAGAATATTGTCCACACAGTTCTCCTGGAAAAGAGGCCGGGGCGTTTCTCTGGATGACTTCGCGTGGCCGTGTCGGGACTGCTTTATCGGTGAAAGGAACCATGTGCACATGGCCAAGATTGCAGGCTGCTGATTTGGTGTCCGGACAAGGCAACGCCTTGGTGTTTGCAGTGCCGGCTTTTAGATGACTTGCTTTGATCCTGCGTGGCTTATTGGGTTACTTGGAGTTGTGTGAAACACGGTGCGGTACCCATGTGCAATTATTGCTCCAATGGGCTCGCAATATCTTACCAGTGCCATCTATTTGCCCCCCGATTCACTGCAGGTTCACATCCCGCATGTGTCTTTAGGGAAGCCCTGTGGGCTTCGGAAATCTCTTCCCGCAGCGCCGCTTTCGTGTCGCAACGAACACGTTTGGGAGCAACACGTGTGGGGTTCCAGCTCCTAATCTAGGTCCCCCAGTAGTGCCCGTTTACACTTTTTTTGGGGAGGGTTCCCCTACTAAAATAGACTGCAGCAAAAAGAGTACCCTTATTCTAACCTCTCTGCTGGACCTAGGATTGCATGGCAGCCTGGCCGGCTTTGTCTCAAACTGCAATGGGCTCAACAAAGCAACACAGCCACACGCACACATCAACATAGACGTGTTGGCTGACGAGGCATGCCGAAGAGACGAATGTCCAACAGGCCCGATGACATGGTTTGTTTTTTGTTAACGGTATGTTGAATCATGTTTAACATACACATATACACATTATACACATGTCTACCCCGACTCTTCAAGACTCATGGAGTTGATATCAGCTCAATCAACTCCTTTTGACTCTTGGCAGGCTGTGGGGACGGCTGGTGAGCAACGCTGTGATGGCCGCAGTACCGAGGCATCCCTTCTGGTTGGAGGTGCTACGGGAGATCTTTCAGACACTCGGAAGATGTTTGGGCTTTGTTGTGTTTGCTTGTTGGCGTGTTAGTTAGTTAGTGTGTGAGTGCTCTTGCTTGCTTGCTTGCTTGCTTGCTTGCTCGCTCGCTCGCTCGCTCGCTCGCTCGCTCGCTCGCTCGCTGCTCGGTCTGTGTGTTGTCTGTGCCGGGGTTGGCGGTGTTGGCTCACCGGACTTCAACCTGTGGACACACCCTCGCACATTGATACAGCATCCACTGTCCCCACGTGCCCACCAACCTGGCACTGCAAGACATGAAGAACAGACACAACAAAGTGGGCTGTCCGCGCGCCAGCCCTTCCAGGTGTCACCAGCATCCCCAACGAGCTCCAGTTTGCCCTATTCTCCGTTCAGCACACGCCAACAACCAACAAGTGACTCTTATTTGTTGCATTCCTGGCTTTTGGGCCAATGCAACCCTGGGGTTTGACCATGAAGCATTCCCAGATGAAGCCTATCCAATCTGAGTCATTTTCTGTGGCCTTGACATTTGGAACATCGGAGCTGAGAGCCACTTCACCTGATACCAAAGGAATCTCATTCCCGTGACACCACTTGCTATCACAGACCTGCGTAATTTCCATGGGCAAAACCCAACAGTTCCGACCAAACCTCCATGGCGCGTCTTTCTTTTGGGGGCCCTCTTTCGGTTGGTTTAACGGGCAACCAAAGGACAGCGGTTCCAGTTATTTTTTGTGGGCCCCTATCTTGACGAGCCATATCCTCATATCGACTTCCCTGCAATTGGGTTTGGGTTGGCGGTTTGGCAGTTAGGGCCTGGTTTCCCAGTTACCCTCTACAAGGGTTCAGGTCCCACTCCAATCAAGCCAATGGTGGTCCTTCTTTTGGTTTCCCTTGAACCCACCCCCCTCCGAAAATCCGAAAATCCGTTCCCTGACCCGAAACCTCAGGCGCAGCTGCGGCACGGACCCGGTGCAGTGCACGGGCCCTCGCCTGCTGGACGCCGTGAGCCTCAGATTTCTGCGGGGCGGAGGCTCCTTGAGCGCTGTGGCGCGCCTGCCCTTCGCGCCTCGCCGCCGTGGGGGGGGGGGGGGGGGGGGGCAGGGGTGTGGGGATTGGGTCTTGCGGGGTTTCTGCGCAAAAAGGGTCGGTGGGAGGGGGCGGTTGGTTTTGAGGGTAGCATGAAATATGAAATGGGGGTTTAATCAAGGGATCCACTGGAAAACGATCCATCTGGAGCATTTGTTCATTTAGAGACACGCCCATATTCCCACTTTTGGTTTTCAACAACACCTTTTGGGCCAATTTACTGGGAGTTTGTTCATAGTGTGATGCTTGTGGGAAAGAGTCAACCTTGTGACTTCATGGTGTTCCAGTTTTCCCATTTTCTGGGCGTGTGTATTGGCGGGCCCCTTTCTGAGGGAACAAAGAAATGTCAACCTAGTTTCACGGGTCTCCTTCAAGAACCCATGCGTCCAAAAGGTTAACATGTACGGTCCAAAAGGTATCTGCGAACTTGTTGCCTCATGCGCAAATTTCACTGGATGCTCGACACGATTTCTCGTGTCAGGGTCGGGGTTCAGACAAACACCAACCACTTTTGAACTTTTGAGGTTCCGATATTTCTCGTCAGGACTACTTCTCCCCCCACCTGGCGCGGTGGAACGCTGGCGCAATGACCACCTCCTGCCGGGATCTGGCGGGAGACATTGAGCCCCTCTTGCCGGAGCACCGAGAGGTGCGCGCCGAACGGGCGTTGGGTTGTCGGCCAGCAGCCTGAGGTTTAGGGGTTGTTTCTTTTTTGTGTCGTTGGGGCGACTTTGGAAAAGCAACGGGGCTAGTTCAAAGAACATCCTAAGGCGCCAAGGGACTCTTAGAGTGTGCGCTCATCTTGGAGGCTCCGGGTGGCCCTTAGGGTGTGCGATTGTTGTGGCGGCAAGCTGAGCATTCAGCCACCTTGTTGATTTGCTGTTTGAGCTGTTCCTGGGGCGTTGCCCCCAAACCCACCAAGCCCCCTGCCGAACAACATAGAGCAAACACTTAAACCAAAACCCACCCGAGCTCACACTTAAGCCAAGACTGATCCACCATCCTATCAAGGCCTTGTGCCTATGGTCAGTCCTTCCTTCCCCCCAAACAATGGAGACCTAGGAATCCAATCAATTGATTTCAGAATTGCTTAGATCACGCGACCCAGATTTAGTTTTATTTGAGTTAAGATTTGCTGGAGCTTCCTTTTGAGATTGGATATGAGTTTCCCTCTGATTTACAGTAGTATTGCTGGAATTGGGTGCTCGTTTGATTCAGTATTGCTGGAGAATCCTTTTGAGATTGGATATGAGTTTCGCTCTGATTTAGTATTGCTGGATCTGAGCTTCCGTTTGATTTCGTATTGCGGGAACTTCCTTTTGACATTGAATTGACATTCGCTTTGATTTTGAATTGGTGCATTTGAGCTTCCAGTTGATTTAGTCTGGCCGTAAGTGTAATTAGCTTGCTTTTGTCAATCAATTCGAGTTTGCCTTTGATTGAATATTGCTGGAATTGCATTGTGATTTGATGTTGTATTCCCGGAGGTTTCTTTTGAGCGCCATTTGATTTGCGCACTGTGTTTTTTTAGAATCGTGGGGCCCGAGGCGTTTCAATCCATATGATTTGAGGGGCCTTGACACGATATATATATATATATGAGCCACGGACAAAACACACGAAGACCACTTTATCAAGGCGGGGTACGTTTTTGCGTAACACATGCCAAAACCATGCAAAACGATAAGGTCTCCCCCAAAAACGATAACCCTTAGCTAGCACACGGCTCTATAATAACCCCTGCAGTTGCAACTTAGCTAGGGTGGGACCCTTGCGTGGCCACCGTAAAACGAGAAGGCGAGTCGCCACTTTCGAGCTGCGCGAGCTGGAGCTGCCAAGGTGTGCTTCGTAAATACGACACTTGTACTGAGAAGTTGCGATTTTCGAGCTGGAGATGCGGAAGTGTACTTCGCGTACTAGACTTGTACTACAAAGTTGCGATTTTCGAGCTGGAGCGCTGTGGAAGTGTACTTCCCGTACTAGACTTGTACTACAAAGTTGCGATTTTCGAGCTGGAGCGCTGTGGAAGTGTACTTCCCGTACTAGACTTGTACTACAAAGTTGCGATTTTCGAGCTGGAGCTGCGTAAACTTCGCGTACTAGACTTGTACTACGAAAGTTGCGACTTTTACTACAAAGTTGCGATTTTCGAGCTGGACATGCGGAAGTGTACTTCGCGTACTAGACTTGTACTACAAAGTTGCGATTTTCGAGCTGGAGCGGAAGTGTACTTCGCTGTTGCGAAGCTGGAGATGCGGAAGTGTACTTCCGTACTAGACTTGTACTACAAAGTTGCGATTTTCGAGCTGGAGATGCGGAGGTGCGCTTACTAGACTTGTACTACAAAGTTGCGATTTTCGAGCTGGAGCTGCGGAAGTAGTACTTGCGTACTTACTACAAAGTTGCGATTTCGAGCTGGAGATGCGAAGTGTAGCTTGCGTACTTACTTCTAGACTTGTACTACAAAGTTGCGACTTTTCGAGAGCTGGAGATGCGGAAGTGTACTTCGCGACTAGACTTGTACTACAAAGTTGCGATTTTCGAGCTGGAGCTGCGGAAGTGTACTTCGCGTACTAGACTTGTACTACAAAGTTGCGATTTTCGAGCCGGATATGCCAAAGTTCGAAAACACTGTAAAACGATAAGGTCTCCCCCAAAAACGATAACGTTCAAAAAAGTACTAGGGCCAAGTAAAGTGTTTCGTCCGCTCCTCATATATATGTATATACATATATATTTGAACGTTCAACATCCTAACCTTCTTGGTGCGGTTGACTTGGGGTATTTAATCTGTTAAACAGGAACGTGTATCCAGTGTTGAGTTTGTGAAGCAGTTTTGCTGTTGCATTCAATCAAAGCCTGATGTCGGTGCTGCTGCTTGAATGAAATGAGCCTCAGAAACAATCACAGTTGAAATTCCATTTGGCTTGGTATTGCTTTAGTGTTGCTGTTCGATATGTGTGAGTGTTGTTTGTTGATTTTGTTGGCCGATATATCTCACAAGATCTAAACGCAAGCTGTATTCAAGCGTTAAATTGGTCTCTGCCCCAGGAACATACCTTATGGTAGGGCTTTGATTCGATTGACATCAAACAAGGCCAAGGCGGCGCACAACACAGTAACAATATCAAATATTCATGCATATTATATCTATGAAATTGGTAACACATTATTATCTCATGATCTATGAAGTTGTTAGTATTATAACATATAATAATCATATATTAGTAATCATATCATGCCAATATCAATAATCTCAAATATTATATCAAAGAACAACAGACGATCGAAGCTCTACGACTGAACTCAAAAATCCTCGAAAGACGGGCAAATCTACCCAACATTTTCATTGGGTCCCCCACATGTAGAGACACATACCCACATTTGACATGGAACTGTACCGTTCTTGGCGTGTTGTTTGTTGGTTGCTTTAATGTGTGTTTGTTCTGTTCATGCTCGGTGGGCTGCAAAACAAATGACAATTGTTGAACACATGCGGGCTGGAAGCAAAGAGCGCGAGCTGAATGCCGAAAGACAGTCAAATCAAGCGCCGAGCATGTCGAGTGGGAGTGAGTGATATCGTTACATATTGTGGTGCTGTTCCGGTCCACAGCCATTCAGCAGGGGTAAATGGACCCCACTTTTGGTATCAGGGAAACGCAAGGGAATCCCAACCATAGGGGAAGTCCTATTTTGAGAATCTGTTCCCTATGTTTTTTCCCCCGTGGAGCCCCAAAAAAAGGTGGTTTGCCTTTCATTGTCCTTTTCCCAACCAAAAAGGATTTGCCTAAGAGACACACCCAAAATGGGACGGATGCGACTGAGGTGCTGCTCTTCGCTTGCAGAGGCCTGGAGCGGGCCTTGCAGAACGATGCGGCCCTGCAGAGCGAAAGGACCTTCGCAGTGCACCGCCCCTCACACTGTGAAGTGGCTGTATATCCCATACCATACCCCTTGGGGTGGAAACCATCTTCCTGAGTGTGACCCCCCCCCCCCCAGCGCCAAGAGACAGGGTTCGTTTGTGTGTGTGTGTGTGTGCGGGTGTGTCTCAAAATGGAGGAGCGATTTTCCTGTGGCTCTCCCAGAATTGGAAAGGGTATCCTCAAGAACTTTTCCCTGGATTTGCCTTACCTTTCGAGCCAAGTTGTTCTTGTACTTCTTGCGGGGTGATGTTTAAAGGGGAGATAGTTCAGCGACGCTTGGAATGCAGGCGCCCCTTTGAGGGTGATCGAGTCTCTGGTGAAGGGTGGCAATATTTGAAGGAGAAGGGCCCCAAAAAGGGCCTATTCGTACGGAAAGTGGATAAACTACCTGTTCAGGGCTTCGTTGAAATTACAGGCCCTATTTTGCTGAGAAGCATGATGATGAAGAAGATGATGATGATGATGATGATGACGATGATGATGATGATGATGATGACGATGACAACCAGGAGGATGAGGATGAGGATGACAATGGTGGTGGTGGTGGTGTTGGTGGTGGCCACACAATGGCAGAATTCGACAAGCCCATTGTTGCAATGTTCCCCCTCATTTTAGCGGGACCCCCCCCCCCCCCGGCCCAAACAACGTGATAAATACGGCGGTTGTTCCTTTCGGTGTCCCTTTAAAGCCACAAACATGGGTCCCCTTCAAAAAAGAGACGTCCACATGGAGGAACGCAAGGCCAAGGGCAAACCAAATTGCCTGAGGCTGGCAATGCAGCTGGTGCCGAGAGGACGACTTGGGGCCAACATGCAATGCTTCAGCTGAGGAACTCCCAATGCCCTACAGTCTCCCGGAAGGCACCCAAACAACCACCATGTTGACTCCGGAACCCCGAAACAGCCGAACCATGTCTAGAGGATCGGGCTTGCCCCGTTTTTGGGCGATGGGTGCTCTTTTTAAGGATACCCCGTTTTTGCTGTTTTGAAAGGGACACCGAATGGAAAAGCAAAACTTTGAATCGGGGGGTCCCCTAAGTCAAGGCTTGTTTCCGCAAAAGAAAAGCTAGTTCTGTTTTGGAACGGAAGGGGAAAAGTGCGAGGGAACCTTGGCTGCTTTTCTCCTTTGATTTGGCGAATGTCAGGAACTTTGGGCTCCCGAAAGGGTGGAGCCCACTCATAACTTGATCAACTTTTCGGCTGGACTATGTTTCATGGTTCGGGAGCATTGACTTCATGAAATAAGCACTCAAGGGTAGTCCGGCCCATTGCAGATGTGTGGAAGGTAGCGTTTAAAGATTGAAATTGTTGGACGCCAGATCTTGTCAGCCGCTTTTGCGTTCCAGAGTCGCAATGACAATGAATGGACACGACTTGCCTTTCAACGAAGAATTGCAGCAGTTGATTTTGGTAGTGTTGCCCAAATCCACGTTGAGGCTGCCGATCATTTTGAGCTCCAGTGGTGTGCAGATTTGTTCGCATGCATAGCCATGGCAGGTTCTTCCATATTGGGGAAACCCACGAGGACGCCGCAATGCAGGCAGCCATGCCTTTGCGCGAGCTGCTCTTTCAGGTGCCTCAGACGTGAAGCAGGTCATCCCTGTGAGTCTTTGGCGAGTAACATGATGTTTGCACATGCCCCAGAGCTTTCAATGAAATTCAAGCGTTTGCATATGCAGTCTGCCATGATTGGTGATAGCTGTCTGTTCAGAAACAAATGGCTTTGGCAAAGGCTTATTCACGCGTTATCCTGCGTCTATTTGTTCCTGATGTAACCCTCAGAAGAGGCGTACGGTCAACCCATGTGGCGCAATTCACAAGTGTCATTCCTTTAGGGGAGCTTTCGGTAGGCAGGCCCAGATTGTCCAAGTAGGTAGCTTGGGCTGACGCGAAATTCGCAAGCTCGGACACTTGGGGGGTATCAACCGAGGTCGGCAACGAGAGCCGAAAGCGCCGCTCCCGCTTGGGGCCGACATCGGCCGGAAAAGTGCGCGTTCAAAAGCGAGAGATGGTCTGGGTGTTTTGGCGGGTAACGGATAGATTTCTTGAAATGGAAGCCAAAAGAAGAACGGAAGTCCATTTTGGGGTTTCATCTTTCTTTTGGGATACTCTTTGAAAGGGATGGCTCCCTTAGGAAAACTAGGGAACGCTTCCATTTTGGGGTACCCCTATTTGCAGACGCACACTCGGAGGGTGTCCTTCTGATTTTCCTTCAGGCCAAGTTGTTTCTTCTCTGCCAGCTTTGGAGCCACCGGCCTTTCATAGCGCATGCACGAGCATGCAATTGGGCGAATTAATTAATTCGCGTCCTCACTCTCCGGAATGTCCACCTCACAGGTTGGGTCGAATTTTGAGGGGAGTGTCTCTACATAGATCCCCAAAATTGGCTCCGTTTTGGGCTCCCAATCTCACCCATTGTCAGGCGCGGAAGGCGTCCCAAGGCGCGTCTTCAGAGGAAAAATGGCGTGTGCAACCTGAGGTTGGAGTCTGTCTGGTTTCACGGGTGCCCTTGTTGAGCTTGCTGAAAAGGGCAGCCAAAAGGGCACCTGCCATTTGTTTCTTGGCCAAGAGTCTAAGAGGGAGACAAAATCAGGTGTTGCTGGTTAGGAAGGCACTAGAAAACAGCGCAGCGTCAGAAGGTCCAAGTTTTGCAGTTGATGCCTCAAGGTCAGATTGCCACCCTGTAGGCCTCACTGTGTGCTGAGCTTCAATGAATCTTTGAGGGTACCCATACCATTGAGGAGTTCTTAGGGAAGTCAAAGCGCCGTGTTGGCTTTCCATGGAGACAAACCCACAGGAGCTCAGATCTTTGCGAAGTATGATATCGCGTTGTGAAAGTAGACAGATAGCTTCCTCAACGCTAAGGAAAGTCATGTCCGGCTCTAGGCTCATGCAAGTAACCTGTAGAGGTTGCTGCCAAGCTTGCATGCAGCATGCCACTTTGCAGGCCAACGTTTTTGTGGGACCACCTAGGACCTACCAGAACGAACTGGGGTCGGGTTTGCAGCTAGGGTGGAGCAAAAGTGGTTTAATCACCAGACCTTGGTCCCCTTTAAAGGGAAAACAACGACAGCCATGAACCTTTTCACCCTAGCCTTGATCTCCATTAGACTGCAATAATCACTTATACAACTATTACACTAAGGATAACTAACTCACACTCCAAACAAGTATTGTTCAAACACAGGGTGTTTTTCAAGGGGTTGGCCCCCTCGTTGATGGCCTTGTTTGGGCCATTCTCCAGCTCCCGCAGGCACATCCCTTGCTGGACTTTCGCAAGAGGCTCCTGAGCAAATGGCCCACCATTCAGGCGCGGGCTTGAAATTACGGGAACAGCACGGCAGAAGAGCAGAACCATGGTTATGTACGATTGGGTTCTAGGGATATCCGTTCTGTTGGGGATGGCCTTGCAAAAGTCAGCATGGCTATCGCAACAGCAGAACAGGCGGTCGGAGGCGGATGTTGTCAATTTGGCACGGAACGGTTAGGGCGGCCGAGAAGTGACGCCAACACGCAAATTACGAAGCGTCCTTCTGATGCTCTCACCCTGAATGCCTCCGAAACAGCCCTTCACGGCGTTGGTAACATATCAAACAGACATTTCGGTTGGGCCCACGAATTTGTCACGTGACGCATCTCTCATTTGGCCCCAAAGAAGGTCTGCCTCGTTTTTCAGGTTGGAGTGTTTTTCAGGTGGTTTGGATTGAGGATTTGAAGGTTGGGTTCTTGTGGGCAAATCCCACCCCTCCAAATCACCAAGGAAGCTGAGTTATGATTCACCCACGAGTGGCCTTCCCTGTGAATCCGTCAAGACAATTAGCGGGGGCAAGACAATTTTTGCCGTGAAAGTTATTTTTTACCGTGGGCAGTTTTTTTTACCGTTGCCGTTGCCGTTGCCGCGAAAAGTTTTTTTTTTTAACGGGGAAATTGCCGTGGCTGTTGCCGTGGCTGTTTGCCAAGGTGCAGTAGTTTCGCAGTTTTTACTTCCAAACTACTGCGAAATTATCTCCAGCGCAGTAGTTTCGCAGTAGTTAGTTCCAAACTACCGCCAAACTACTGCGGAATTAGCTCCAGCGCAGTAGTTTCGCAGTAACTACTTCCAAAATTGCCGTTGCCGTTGCCGTTGCCGTTTTTGTTGCCGCGTTTTTTTGCCGTTGCCGTTGCCGTGAAAAGTTAATTTTGCAAGTCAATTAAGAAGTCACTAATTGCCGTGAAATGGGAATTGCCGTGAAAGTTAATTTTTACCGTGGGACTCTCTCATTGTCTTGACGGATTCGTTGGGTTTGGGCTCTCTGAGACGGGATTTCGCGGGGGTAAGCCGGACCAGGAGGCCTTCGCGGCAATCGACAGCTACTTGTCCAAGGTGCCATCCGCGCTTTCGCAGCTTGAGGTCAACTCAATTGGTGGTTCACACATCACATGGGGAATGGAACGTGAGTTTCCCAGTCTCCTTTCTGTGGGGGATGTCTCAAAGTTTAAGTGGGAAGCATAGGGAGCCCTGACGTGGGATGGCGGCTCCCACTGCGTCGCGTTTGGCCGAATCCCACCGCAGGTGACGCGACCCATGAACCTGCAGGAGTGGGCTAACACTCTCTCCAATCTAGGCGGGAAACGGAATCAATCTGCATAAGACGCCTCCCCAAAATGAAGATTTCTTTCTCTCACGACGGGGGACCTCTGAGAAGTGTGCTGCTCCGGATTCTGCAGACATTGCGCAACGCAAACATTGATGACACCGTCTATTTGGACAAACGGGCGATTATCCTTTGTCAGATCCATGGTAGAGTTGGCTGTGTGAATTTGCAGACCGTGACATGCTCTTAAAGCTGAAGGCAGCCAACCTGCGCAGGCCTTGCCAATCTGCAAGATGCTCGAGTGATCTACGACGCTGGACATGCATTTAGTGGTTGCAGAAGGAGTTGGGGTCACTTTGCGCAGGTTCCTTGTTCAAAGCTCTGAATCAACGTGGCCGTCTGACGGATGCGGTCGGGAGATAAGACATAAGAATAGATAATAGAAGCAATCAAATATCAGCGGAGAGAGAGAGAGAGAGAGAACCTACATCGTCTTCATATCAATACAACTCCAAATGAGGATAATTAGAAGACTAATACCAACAAGTAGATGGATGAAAGACACGCAGGAAATGCAGAAGCAGTAAAAGACAATAAGACAGCACACTATTAATTGATAAAGCAAACATGTGACATCATTTAGCGTGCAAACTAATCCAATACGAGTGCACAACAAAATGAGCATAAAGCGAAGGACACCATACAATTCTGGTGAACCTGCTCTAGTCTCAAATCTAAACGAGAAAACAAGTGAATGATGCAGAAGTTGGTTGCATTCTAGTTCAGACATGTTGGTAGTATCTTAGATGACTTTCTCATTTCTTGTCTTCTACTATTTCTACATGGCAAGGTGGCGTATTTCCCGGTTTGTTCTAGTCCATGTAGTCTTTCATTATCATTCATTTGTATGTCAAGTTGTCAATCTCAAGTCGTTCACAGCCATGGAGCCTTTCAACGTTCAGATGACTCTGGGCTCCCACAAAACATTGCCTTGCGCCGTGTTGTTGCAGTTGTGACTTGGTTGCTTTGTGCTCCCGAAAGAATGCTCTGAACCAATTTGGGCAGATATTAACATAAGCGTCGCAAAGGCAAACCCAGGTCTGACCAGTTGTTCCCCCAACGCTGGCAAAAAACCTGATTGGCACGAGCTATTCTGCCTTACTCACAGACCAAAGTTGAGTCGCCCAGGCAACACAAGGCCAGGTGGTTTGCAAAAGGCAGGG